GTAAGACATGGATTAAAAAAATATATAAATCAGTAGAGTTGTTTAGATGTCTTTTTTCCAGTTAACAAATACTGAAGCTGCAATTTTTGGGTTAGTGTTATTTTTCATTTAGAAAGTTGTGTGTTGCTAGTAGGCAGGAGGATGAGCGTGAAGATGAATGCACCAGTTTTATGCTCTGAGTTTCAGCTGAATCATTTCCAAGATAGATTTTTTTTTCCCCTCTAAGATGGGAAACATCCAAGATAATTTCCCATCCCACATGGATTTCACAATTTCCCATCCCTGGGAACGCAAAGTGCCTAGCACATGGGGCCCCACAGACATCTACAGATAAAGGCAAGGGAAGGTAGGAATGCTGGAAACACACAGACAAACAGGGATTGAAATTACATGCTAATTTTTCCACAGCTAATTAAGCACTGGAACAAGTTTAGGGAATACAGTGCCTGATTTTCACCCCAATTTTCTCTCATTCTGACAGGACTCAGATGCTTTCTGTGGTTTCAGAAATACTTGCCTCACTGTACCTAACTCATGTTACACTACCAAGACATGCATAATGCAGTGCCCTTGCCCCCCAGCTGGGCCTTCCTGCCCTGGATCTCCATAAGAGATTCACCTTGGCAGCGTGTGCAGGGCCCAGCTCACACTCCAAAGGCTCCTTCAGGAACCCTGGCTTTACTGAAGTCAAGGCACAAGAGAGCAGGGCCAGGATTCCACTCCACTGCCTCCAGAGAACCCAACACGGGAAAGCAGCAAGCTGGGCTTTATGTACAGCTTGAGAAATGCTGCCAGCAGTGGCAAGGCTGGGGGAGAGCAGGTACCACGGGAACAGGCAGCAGCCCCCAGCAGAGCTGAGGACCAGGCCAGAAGGGCACCACCAGCTTGGTTTGAAGGGAGCAGCCAGCCCAGGGCAGAGGCTTTGGACTGGACCTGGAGAGAGGCGTCCCGAGGCAGACAAACACGTCCAGCTGCACAGGGAAACTGCCCTTTGCTTTGTAGGTTTTCATGTGGACAAACTCCCTGCGGCACATGGGGATCTATGGAAACTAAATATGAAGCCCAAGTCCCACTGACTGTCATTTTGTCTCATGTCCCCACAGAACAAAGACTTCATCTTTTACCTCCCTTCTCTCTCCCTGCAGGAATCCAGGCAGCTGACCTAATAGGAAGATTCACCTGAGAAAGGGACAAAACAGCCTGGGGAAAAGCCTTTATTTCACCAGCAGGTTCATTCACAGAGATCACAACACAGCACATAAGGGGGCCATTGTTTCTGGAATAAAATCTCCATTTGAGCTCTCTTCTTTGGCCATGATCAATGGGAGAGTATTAAAGTCTCATCCTGGGAAAAAAACCAGCTTGCTAACACTGTGTTGAAAGATCAGGTAATGGAGATGCAGAGCAAACGTGGGTACCCACAGCAACTCTTGGTGAGCCTGAGGATGCCGGAGGTAAAAAGCTCCCCAAACACAGGCACAGCCCTTATCATATCACAGGAGAGACAACCAAGCCAAGGGCTATGATTCCTAACTGGAGGTGTTGGTGTTTCACAGTACTTGGATGCAGATTGCAGCTCCCACAGCTCTTCCCAGCGCAGAGGCATTTAAATTGCCTGGGTCTTACACAGCTGCCTGTTCAGCCTCTGCATTTTCTGTCCCATGGACGCACAGAGCCAACCCCAATAACTTGGAGCTGTTCTGCACCTCTGCCCTACCTACCCTGGGGTGTTCTCACAACACTCACCTCCCCCCCGTCCTCCAGGCACCTTCCCACCTCCAACAGGCACGGCAGTGGAAACCCACTGCTCTCACCACTCAGTGACTATGAGCAAGGGCGTTTTCCACCACCTGCCAAAGGATGGATTTCCACCCTCCAAAGATCATCAGACAGAGAACCAACCCTATTTCCATCACAGCCGTAGCAGCATAATGCCCACCTTCCTCTCCCTCTCTGTTTTAGTCTGATGCTTTGGAACAACAAGAAGAAAGGACTGTTTAAACTCGTAGTTACAGGTTCAAAAAGCAACGTCTGCTGCTTGGGCAGCTAAGTGTGGAGCATCACTGTCATCCTCTGGGCAGACACACATCACACTTGCCTTCATCCTGTCCCAGGCCCACCTCTCACTGCGATTTTACAAGTGAGAGCAACCAGGATATTAAAAGCGATTTGCTGCCCCCTCCCGAGCGAGCCCCGGTGACAAATCAGCCCGGGCTCTGCACACAGACTGTCCTTCGGGGAGCACAGCTGCTGCCCTGCTGATGGGGCACCAAGCAGCTCTGCCAGGCCAGACTAGAAACGATCCTCAGCTGTTACAGAGAGGAAGGGAGATCAGCTACACAGCCTGAACCATCATCCTGGCATTTAGGTTTCAGAACTCTCAGGTTAATCCTCCTCTGTGGAAATACAAAGAAATACCTCCCAGCATATTCTGTCCTCAGTAGTCACAAACATTTCAGAGCAGGAGCAGACCATGAGACATATAAAGAAACAAGAAAAAACCCCAAAACATTACCTGTATATTTAAGAGAGTGTTTTAAGTTTACATTTAAGTGTTAAGTTTATATTTGTTTAAGTTTATATTTAAGTGTTAAGAGTGTTTATATTTAAGAAGGGTTTTTTTGACTAAACCCACTTAAATCTTTTATGTCCACCAGCAGTGCTCCAGCCTGTGTTTCCAGGGAGTACAGAGCTTTATCTAGACATACAGTACGTACATACCATCTTCAGAACAAACATTAACACTGCAGCCTGCTGCTTTCAAGGCACTTGTCCAAGAAGGAATCAGTGTGCCTTTCCCAATGTCATCTACCAACCATTTGGTCCTTCCCTTCAGAAAGAAAACCAGTTCTCCCTTTACAGGCATCCCAGCAGATCCTCCACTGGCCAGCAGAGCAGGAAAGCATCTGTGACACGCAGCTTCCCGAGCCAGGAGAAGCCAAGCCATGCAGGCTCTAGATTTATGGATTAGACATGCTGCCATGGCACACAAATCACTCTGTGCTCAGTGCAATTCATTATCACATTGCTATTGCTGCTCACATTCCCCACATTTTGGCAAATGATGCCAAAAAGGCTTTTACCTTTCATTTGCCAAGACTGAACAACGCAGTCAAAAGCCTTGCCTGCCTGCTCCCCGGGGAAGTGAAACCAAAACCAGCAGTTGTTCTGTCTTTGTGGGCACACTGAGCCCTGCAGGTTTTCCCTTTGGGGCACCCCATGGCAGGGCTGGGATCTGCCTGCTCCCAGTCCAGCCTGTCCCAGCAACTGAGCCTGTGCCTGCAGCACTGTCGGTACTGCCACAGCCACTGACAACACCCTCCAACCCGGGGAAATTCAGCTGAAAATCTGCAGGCAAGCCTGGGGGATTATTCTGCCACACTAGCACACCCTACAGAGTATTGGGAAAGAAAAGGCCTTTTACCTCCCTTCCATGTATCAGTAAAGGAAAAGAACTTCAACAACAGGCATAAACCACTAAAATAACAGTATAATTGACCCAAAGGAATAAGAAGGAAGGGGTGAAGGGAAGACACGGTTTGTGCTACTCCCTCATAATGCTGCATCTTGATTCTGGGAAAAAGGACAATGGGGGAGGAACAAGCCAGAAAACTGGCTTTCCATTCCTATGGAAAGGTTGTTCCTCAGGAGGGAAAAA